TGCCTCCAGAGCGCCACCTAGTGGCGAATTGTTGACAATTTTTTTAGCGACCCAATAACGACGCATAGAATATCCAATTTTTCACCAGGCCTGAACACTTAAATAAAGTGAAAAAGTAAAGTAAAATTTAGTTTTCGTATATGTTCAGGGGGGCAAAATCACAGTCAAAGGCGCTAAAAATAATAAGAAACATAGAAAATACAATAGGGACCTCCAGCAGTCGCTGGCTCGGTCCCTAAATATTAACTTACGTAACGTAATAACATTAACTTGATCAATTTTAACGGCTTTTTGATGAACTTTTATTGATCACACAATGTTTCCTTAACCTTAACCAAACTGCTTTTGTTGACACTTTTGTCCGGACACATATACTGGACTCTGATGTGATAGTCCTGCACTTTGTATGGCCACCATCCACACCAACAGCTTGTCCGCCATCCAATTCGACCACCTCGTTGACTCCGGCGTGGCACATACAAGTAATGATTCATTATTCACTCAGAATACGTCTCTGAAAATTATCCAGGCAGCGAACGTAATCTTAAAAGCAATTTAGTAATATACAAGCATAATTTCGGGGAGACAGGGATGCATAAAGAGAAGTAGCACTTTCCTAATTTTTACTTCTATCTGTAAGAGGTAGATATGCAAAAGTGCTGCCATAAGTGCATCCATTAGCAGTCTTGATTTCCCGAGACACAAAGAGACAAGTTCTCTGAACCCTGACTCACTCTTTTATTGCATAAAAAATATTCCATTAACATCGAGTACATCAGCAGGTAGTGTGTTTAATTCACTTTGGAATGGTTTGCATAGGTACAGTATAAAACTGTTATTGGTGTAGATCATGCGGCACTAAGAGTTTACATTTTATAGAAGATTAAAACTGTGTGTAACATTGAATAACAGTGTATTATTTATTACAGCAATGGCAGTGTTAAAGGCTATCTTAGACTTCTAAGAAGAATTCTCTGAACAGAATTGAGGTCTTTATGACCTTCTACTCTTTTCTATTTTTTGTTCAGCTTCGAACGAGACTCTGAAAGTTTTACTCCCACCAGTTGATCCAGGATAATTTTACTTTACAGACAGTCACACCATCAAATCTCACAGTATGCAGTATTTCCATTGTATATAGTCATCATGTGGGGTTTCAATAAGAATTGCAGTTTCTGACATTAATCAGGAACTTGTGCCAGTGATGAACTAGTGAAAAACCATGACCGGGTTTTCAGTCTTTGCAAACAAAAGCATCTGAGAAGAAACACAAATAATACAAGGAGCTATAGAGAATGCTATAAACCAACATCACAGTCATTAACATCACTGGGTCATTAACATGACTTTGGGACTTTTTTTTTTACAGTAGGCAGCTTGCCTTGTCAAACACAGGTGTAATGTTCAACAAATGAATTATGACTTCATTCCTATCAGTACGTTGCAGGGTGCTGGCATTGTACATGGTGGCTCACTGGCAAAGCTCAATGGTGCATTTAAATAGAACAAAGCCACTGTTAATGTTATTAGATACATCTGTGCTTTTCCTACTATGACAAGACCAAATGTTTCCTATAATACATCTACAGGAGACCCATATTTTACTTTTTAATGCTGCAATAAGTAAGTGAACTGTAACAAAAAAGTTACTTTAAAAACATTTAGGTACTGATTTATTTTCTATTTCTTCTTTGCATCTACTGAGGTGGAGGTGGTTAAAAGGTTCAGCCATCAGCACTGGTGAGCCCAACTTCTCTCGTAGGTTTGCTTTTTAGAAGAAAAGCATGTATTTGGCTCTTTTCTTTGATTCTAACCTGTGCTGAAATCCTAACATAGATTTGAAAAATGAATTGTGTATAGTATCTCAGTTAAGGTGGATGGGTTTTCTATTCTCTGCTGCAAATTGTCTTTGTGATTTACACTGTTGTTTTCTCTATATACAGTAGAAATTTAACCTAGCTTTAAAGCAATAATTTTAAATCTTGGGAAATTGGGCTTATTTGCTTTCTTGCTTAGTTACACAAAAAGATTGATGCCACCCTCATATCTATGTGTTAAGTATGGATCTAGATTTAGGAAATGATTAACTTAGCATAAAGTATGGCTCCAAGAATGGAGCTTGAGCCAGGATAAAGTGAACCTAGCTTAGCATTAAGACTGGACACTGTAACCATGTCTCTATGAATGACAGTCTGCCCAGTAGTTCTGTGCAACACCTGTGGTAATTGCCTGTTAACATTATGCTAGTAGCGTGGCTATGCTAACACCTCCTGGCTCCAGCTACATACATTATATTAGAGTGGTATCAATCTTCTCATCTCATCACAATTAAGTATGTCATAACCATGTGGTCCAAAATGACATCAGAAATGGCTCTATGTAGCTTCGACATTCATTAGAAGGAAACAAAATCCAGCTGCAGTGTGATCGCGGCCTTTGAATGCACACTGGAGATGAATTAAAGATCAAGGCTGACGGTAAGTCTGTCTCTTGTTCAGTCTGTCTGTCCTCGTGACAGGATGGGAATCCTCGGCCAAACCAGGAGCAGGAAGCGCCCGGGAGGGAGGTGGTTATTCATGCTTGCGGCGCTGACTCCTCTCCTGATAGATCTGTCCAGTGAATGGTCTGTAAATACAGCAGAACAAACATATAATGGGACAATAAATCAGAGTCTGGAACACCGTACCACTCTGTGCCAGGACCGCGTGTGTGTTGAACCGCAAGGGAGCTTGAGTGTATGTGTGTGAATGATAGGACGATGCATGGTGTCTCCACATGTTCCTGCACTCTGTTGCACATGAATGCTCACGCGCTTTTGCACGTTCCAACTCAAATATCAACAGCTGTACCAGAGAACAGCAGCTCAGTTCCTTGGGTGTAATTGAGGGAATCTGGAAAATAACAGCCCTAATAGGTGAGAGAGATAAAATTGACCTGATCATTTTTTGTAAATGATTCCACACACACGAGAATTACAGTACTTAGTAGTTAATGAAGTACTGGTGAGCTAACTGCTGGACATGCTAGCACTGAAACAAAAGCTCCCAGAACTTCTCTCTATTTTTAACAGTTCCACTAATCGTAGCTATTCTACTAAAATGTATTTCACTTTTAAAATTTTACCATATTAGATTCAGAAGACTCTGGATACAGTACCTGTATGTGCACAGGTAGTTAGTCACTTCACCCTAAAATAAACATGAACATAATGATGTCATGAGCTGATCCATTTTTTGTGGATTAAATATAGTTATTTGTCTATGAATAGATCAGTCTTCCAAAGGGCACTACAGGATGACTAAGGAACCAAAATGTTATGTACAATCGGAGCCAGCTTTCACCACTGCATCTTACTTACTACAGCGTACTCACACTTAGTGCGATTCCAGTCGAGGACGCCTTGCTATCCTCGCACAGTTTAACTAAATGAGATCATTCAGAATCAATGCCAGAAGCAAAAGATAAATATAGCATGTGAATCTTTTCCCAGTCACAGTGTGTGGCAAAATCTGGCACCTGCCTTTCCCTCAATTCACAGTTTCGGGCTAAATGACACAATTGTGGATCGGTGCTTCCGGAAATTGCAGCAGCGAGGTGTACACCTGTGCTCTCATTCACAGCGTGACATTTTTAGAAAAGTATGCTTCCGACACTGCAAGGCTAAACTCTACTTTCCTTTTCAGTTCTACGACGACTTTTAATTTCACTCATTGGGCAATTGAGGTCATTTTAAAAGGCTCAGTTAGACAAAAGGTGGCCGAATTTTTTTCTTCCAACACTGGGTGACTTACGTAGGAGCAGATGTGAATAAAACAAATGTTCAGGGTTTTAACGAGGTAGGAAATGGACATGGAGGGCTCTTCAGATGTAATTTACTGATTTGTAGTTGGACTGACAAACACTATTTGTCTCTCTGATTGTGTATTATTGTTGCCCGTGTGCTATTGTTGTGCACATTTAAATCATAAGCTCTTATGCTGTTATCTGTCAGGTTCCCCACACAAGTAATGCAAAGAAAATGTGCGCATTTAACACAAACACCTGCTCTGACGATGAGAGGGCATCACACATGCGCACACGCACTCAGAAGCACGCACACGGACACACACACACACACACAATAGGCTTTATGAGCAAGTGCACATAGCAGCTGCTTCCATGCTGAGCTCTGCCTCACAGCCTGCTTGTGTATCTGTGTGTGTGGGTGTGTGTATGTCCGCACAGGTGTCTGTGAGGACAGATGTCCAGAAGTAGGTCGCTCATAACTGTTTTTAGTTCTCGTAGTTTTCATGGACGAGCAGTAGGAGGACGTGTTTAATGTGTGAAAAAAAAAATATGTCCACCTCTTTTAGGCATTTTAAGTAAGTACTGAATGAATGAATCTCATACATAATCTTCACTTACTTAATCTTTATAGGATTTCATAGCGTCATCAGTGCATATTGGGGTTCCCGCTGTACACAAGTTATTAACTAAATACATTTTTTTGACAAACATGAACAGGGCAGAGACATAGAAAAACTTACCCTTCAAATCTTATTGCCACCTTGTAAGCCACGGCTACTATGGCAGTCAGGACGAGACCAACAGGACTGGCACCACTGAAGACGGAGAGGAGAGAAAAAGAGTGAAACGGTATTGAATATGTGAACCCACTTCAGGCCATCTGTCTCAAACAGAACAAAGGCAGCAGAACTTAAGATTTAATTAAAAATCTAAAACCTTTGTGTCCATCACAGGGAATTTCAAAATATAAAATAAAATGTGAAATGGATGTGTCTCCAATAGCTGGACTGAATGCGAGAGAAAAACAAAGTAAAAAACAGTTAAGTCAAATAGTTTGAGAAAATAAGTTATATAAAAACACACTTACAAACAACAATTTTTAAATTAAGTTTAACTAACTTTAGGTTTACTGTGTAATTCATGCTTGTGAGGAAAAATAAATACGCACAACATACTGACCTACATATCAGAAAGTGGCATAGTGACACAGATTTAGAGAAAAAAAAAAACCTGTACGCAAACCTTTATACAGGAGCACACACAGACTTGCATGACGGTGTAATGCAAAGGACATAATAATAAAAAAAACTATAAGGGCTGGACTAAAAGCCCTCCAATGTGGAGCAGTGGTGTGAGTAACCAACAGCTATTACCTGAAATTACTGTAGACACATACAGCATATATAGGATATATACTGCCTTTAATTTCTTGCCACACCATTCCATATTGATATTAAAGTTGACCATTAACAACCTAGTCATTAAACCAAAGAAAGAAGCATAATCACATCTATCAGCGCCACAGCACACTGTGGAGCCAGCAAAAGTTGACCTGCTTATATAAAACTGGCCATGACCTACTTAAGCAGGTAGCAATGGAAGTACCAGTGTTCAGAGAAAAAAGTCTAGTTAAATTCAGTACTTTTCTGGACCTTTTTCCAGCCAGTTCTAGAAATATAAAATCACAACAAATTATATTGAGATATTCCAACTCTGAATTTCTTTCCATGGTTCGATATCGACAATAACAATGAAAAAATATTATACTATGGAACAGCAGACAGAGAAATAATTGACGTTTTGAGAAATATCCAGACAAAAGTTTTTTTTAGCCAGCTAGCAGCGTGGTTCTAAGGACGGTAATGTTGGTTGGTAGGACCGTCGGTCCAACACTTGATCTTGAAATATCTCATCAGTTGCCATGAAGGTTCATGGTCCGCAGAGGATGAATCTTACTGACTTTGATTGAAATGCCCTTGAGGTAAGGTTCATTGATGAGGTTTGATAGTTTTGTTTTTTATTAAAATGTCTTGATGGCTACTGGATGAATTGCCATGAAATTTGATACTGATATTCATGTCCCTCTTAGGATGAATTTTAACAGTGCTGTTGATCCCTTAAGCTTTAATCCAGCGCCATGATCAGGTTCAATTTCTAATTGTCTAAAACTTTATTTTATGACCAAATACCTGCAAAACTAAAAACATCCCATCAGTCTAAGACTATTTTTGTGCTTGTTAGCATGCTGACATTCGATCTGAAGCACCACTGTGCACATAGAATAGAGTGGCTGTAGACTCTTCAGCCTTAGATATTCTGCTTTTCAACAGGAGAGGCTGCATCAGTAACAGAAAATGCTGTTGTATGTGGCACTCAGCGGACTTCATAGAGAAGGCTCTGTAGATAAGATGGATCATTCCAAGGTAACAAAAACATAGTCTTATTTTTCTGTGATTATACACGAATGAAAACATACCTATGAATATTATATTGCATTTCTGCCAACAGATCCTCCTAAATGTTACACATTGGACTGCAAG